TTTGCCCACTCTCCAAGCAACTTAGGGGTTACAGGAAGATATAGATCACGCATAGAAGCAATCCACTGGACCAGAGCTTTCTCCTGATACTCATCAAGGGCCTTATTCTGGGATGTGTGGGCGTTGCGAGCCTGTTTTCCCTGGCAGACGCGACCACGCAGTGTTGTATGACACGCTATATTCCCGGGCGATCTTTGCTAAATTTGGCTTTTTTTCCTTCCTGGCGGCTTTACAGGGCTCCAATACGCGTTTTTCAAGTTCTCCGGTTGATCTAGGCATATTGTGTGGATGGGAATAGCCTCAAGAATATGGGAGGATGGAAAATTGGTCTATCGGTGTGAATTGGTCTATCGGTATGGTGCACCCACTGCCGAAAGGCGGTGGGGGCACTAGAAGGCACGGATACCAGACCAGACGTCCTTTATTTGTTCCACAGATGTTGAACTAAACAAGTGGGCAGTCCTCACCGATAATAATTCCACACTCGAATATAGTCTACCTCCAGCTGTACACCCTCACCACCAACAGTGGTCGCGTTGGGCTGACCTGGCCAATCTCCACCCACTGCCACATTAAGCAGTATGAAATGGCCTTTGTGTGCAATATTTTCCCAGATCGCCGAGCTGTTTATCCTAGCCGCTGGAATCTGAAAAACCTGCTGCCCATCAAGATACCACTTCAACTTCTCCCTATACCACACTCCTGCACTTCGATCAACCTCAAATCCAACAGTGTGCCATTGGCCACCAGTCCATCCCACTCCACCACTTCCAAGTCCGGTATATTCATTGCATGGCCCGCCAGGCGCAACCCCACAATGAAGTAAATTGTATACTTTCGGTAAGCCATTGATCACTTCCATAAAATCCCATGATGAAGCAGCAGGCCAGGCGGTATAATTGGAGCGGAAATCAACCCCAAGAGCCCAGAATGCAGGCCAGATCCCCTGTTGCTTGTACGTCGGAGCCGAGCCGGTCTTCAAACGACCCTCGATATAAAGTCGGCCACCAGGCGTAGCAGCGAAATCGGTGCGTTGGGTCTCAATGCGCGAAGATGTCCAGGTACGGTTGGATGATATGCGTGGAGTAATGGTCAGGGTATCGTCTTGAGTCACGCGGATATTGGCTGGCGACGTTGTGTATGTCTCGACTTCATGGTTTCCCCAATTCGGTGCACCGCCAGGATAGGAGGTTCCGACGTCGAAAATCCAGTTCTCAGATGACGGTAGATAATGGCCTGGTCTGTGCTTAAATTCTTCATGCCATGTTAACTGATAGCTATCAAGAATTGAGTGAGGAATCGAAAGTTTTGGTAGCACAGAACTATGCTCAACTCCGTCGCGGCGGTTATTGTGGTGGTGATGGCGGGCCTCCTTTGCCGCTCCTGCAGAACCCAGAAATAAACACAGGAAACTAATGAATGACTGCATACTGAAGAGTGCCGCCGAAAAATGTGACAAGAAATAAAAAGGACAGAAGGAGTGACAAAAGAAACTAAATACTGTAACAAAAAATCATCCTGCACAGCCTCTCCAACAGTCTAGTGCAAAACCGAGTCTCTCGGGCATGAAACTCATATCGGGCCCCACAAGTACTCACCTAGAGAACGCTCCCGATACCACCCATACGGATGACGCCTACTTACACTTTTGTGGTGCCCACAATGGTCAAGTCAGATTCTAGACCCACGGACCAACGCGTGGAGCTGGGTTGAACCCAAGGAAGGACACGTTCTGGTGAATGTTGCCGATGCATTGCAACACCACACAAGAGGAAGGCTTCATTCTTGCTTGCATCGTGTGACCCAGCTAGGCGGGGGATTGAGAGTCAACTCCGTTAGTTACTACCTAAGACTAGTTTCCTTGTAATGCTGGTGCGTACATAGGTAGGGCTGGACACGAATAACTACCGGTTATGTTACTAGATAGTTAAGAAGCTTGGGTTTCATCTAAGTACAGCCACAGTGTTTCAAGTTGTTATGCATGAATTACAAGAGGGAACGATATATTTGGCGGAACGTTATATATATTTTTTATAAAAAATCATTCTTGCCGTCCCGACCGCCCCGTAGGCAGCGAACATGCGGCATGCATCTGTCGGGCCCATGCCTGGTACAAAGACATCCTAGCAGAGAAAGAATCCAATCCCGAGACTGCTGTAAATATCTGGAACATTTGGCAGAGATGGCATAGTTACTCACGATTTATGTGGTTAGATCATAGGCCAGGCTCTGGGACTCGTGACAATAAAAATAGTCGTATTCTATTCAACCAATTGTATTCATAATAACTACTCTGTACTGTACACAGTTGTTAGGGCAGTTTGAGTGCGGGGGGCCAATAACGCTTCTTTTGTGTGGGTCTGCTAGAAACGATTCCCGAAGCCGTTGAGAGGGAGGAGTGAAGTGGACCCTATAACAAGGACCTCGCCATAAATTGTGGTGTACCGTCGGGTCCAAACATCCACCAAACAAGGAAACTTTGAAGGAGGGCACTGCCTACTTACCATACTGTTCTTGCGTACTGAACTGGTTCCATGGATGCACAGGACGGTACCAATCAACTGCTTTTTGGGTTACCCGGAAACCCGCCAAGAACCCAAAGCCTCATATATTACGGTAATATACATGAAATTCTGAAAATTTAATATGAAGAGTTACGTAATAGTTGTATATATTCCCGTTATTTTTTTTCTTGGCGGGTTTTGGGTCGGAGGTCGAAACCCAACCCGCGATTTGGCGAGGGTCGACTGTGGAGTAACTATATTACTAATGGTTGGTAAGCTTAATTAAGAACGTCCTGGATATTAGTGAGTTTCTAACCCGATATAGAGTTCGCGTTTTAAATTAAGCCCGTTTTATCTATGGCGGCATAGCGGCGTAGTTTAAACGATCTTAAGTTTTTTAATTCTGCTAGTGCCGCGTTTATTCGGCGGTTGTGGTCCACTTCTTTACTGTATTTCTTTTTTTACAGGTGCCCCACCGCAGACAGTATGCATTTTACACCCGTGCTTACGCCTACGCGCATGCTTCCGGGTCAATTATGGCCCATTCGGGCCGTCTCTAGCGCTTGAGCAGACCGTGGTTCCTCCATACGCGTGGAAATGTGTACGCCTCGCGATTGGCCACGTACGAATTGTACATAGCTTCGCTGGAGGCGGATGCTGCGGGGACAAACAAAACGGTCCGCAGAGACTGCACTTCTCAATTGCGCAGATCCCTCTAGTCCATACAATTATGCAAAGCTACCTCTAGTGCCCATGATAACAAAGGCAAACAGATCGTCGCGGGACGGTGGATAACAGGCAGCCCGGAATAGGCCTCGAAATGGGGCGGATCCGGATCGAACTTTTGGATCCTGATCCGCACCGCAGTTCTATACGGGGCGGATCAGGATCAATCCGTTTAGATCCTGAATCGCATAAATTCGCCAAGACTTTCCTTTTTAAGGTGGACAAAAAGCTGACTCATTATGAATAAAATACATTCGTCACACTTTTCTATAATATATTACGAGTAGCTAGTCAGTTTTGAAGGTATATATATTTTGAGGGGGTCGTAGACTCGTATCACCAGTTCTACCACCAATACTAGAAATTTATTACACTGTTGAGAATCTTGGGGAAGAAGCTATGTCGTGAGGTGCTAGGATAGCGGTGACTAGATAGTATATTGAAACTATCGTGCGATCTAGTATCGCATCGTGAGTATGTCCATCTATCTAGGAGAGAGAGCGTAGACAAACGCTTCCTCATGTCTACGTGTCCCTTAGCCCCTGAATATGATATATCACATCGCTGCGGGACTAGGATATCCATAGGTGCCTTAGGAATCCTGATTTCCAACATACACTAGAAATTTCATCGTTTCTTCTCGGACCAATTAATAATAGTAATATTAGGCCTGTATTATTATAAATGATTATCAAACATGGAGAGGAGAGGAAGGAGAGATAGATCATAACTGTTACGGCGTGAGCATGGTGGAACAACTGGATTCTATTTTGACGAAGACATCGCTTGAAGAAACTCGTAAACAGAGCGACGCGAGGTCGGAGCTATACTATCTACAGGCGGTGAGGGGCGGCAGCAATAACAGCATCAGTTGCGGGGAAACCAGCAGATCACATGACCCAAGGTGACGAGGTCGTCACAAGATATATAATATAATACCATCCGATACGTCTTAGAAACAGGCATAATTTTGGTATTCTATTTAGAAGCGGTGTTTGTCCTGTTTGTCGATCTGGCGGATCAAAGAATTAGATCCGGGTAGAACGGATCCTTTCGAGGTCTAGCCAGGAGTGGAACACCTGAAGACCCAGTTATATACTGGGGTGACGCGCGCTCCGCAACTCTGCAGCAGTCGCCCTGAAACGTAAGCCGAAAAGTCAAGGAAAGTGAAATTTGGGGCATTTCTTTTACTTCGTTGTTTCAGGGCAAGGAAGGGCTCACGGGGTGATTCTGATCCTTTCTCTCACTTCGTTCGTTTCAAGGCATGTCTAGGCAGAACTCAAGCTGAGTAAATCATTTCTAGTTATTGAGGCATTTTCTGTTATTTGACAATCAACCTATTGGGATATTTGTGACAGTAATACATGCAAACTATGGTTTGGAGGTCTATAAGTGCATATAGACCCAATTTCTTGCTTTGTTCTTTTATACGCATATATTTGAGTTGCACAACAAGCACAGCTACAGTACCACTCCCGCCACACAATCTTGACCTTTACCTGCTCTGACAGTGGATCTCCTTGAGATATTTCAACCAGTTGTCAAGGTTACCATGGAGTTTTCGCTTCAGCTTCATGAGATTTGCTGGTTGGACGCAACCTCCCGTTTTGTCCTACAAGTGCTCGCATGCTGCTTGGCAATATATTGTGCTCTTTTAATTAAAAACTCCGCTCTTCGTCAATTTCCAGGACCATCTGCTTGGCCCATTGTCGGCAATCTACCCTCACTCTATCATCAGCATGCGGAGAGGCAGTTCTTCAGTGGGCAAAAATGCATGGCGATGTTATTCGAGTACAGTTGGGATCCATGACAATCCTTGTCGTTAACTCAGCATCTGCGGCAAAGCGTGTATTTGCAGGTAGCACAACAGCTTTGTCATCAAGGCCTGTGTTTCATACATTTCACGAGGTAGGATGTCCATCTTTTACTTGCTCAGAGCAACATCAAACCTAACAACAGAGGTTAGCTTATTGCTGGTACCTTGGGGCCAACAATTGGCACCGCAATCTACGGGGACGCTCTAAAAAGGGGCCGTAAAGCTACAGCAGCAGAGCTAAGCAAGCCCGCTGTAAAAGCAAACTTAGGCAAAATCGATCTGGAGACTCGGCACTTTCTCCATGAACTTATGTTCTACGGTAGCGAGGGTCAAACCCCACTGGAGGTTTCTAAACTTATTAAGAGGCTAACGCTAAGTCTATCACGAGTCCATTTGCTACGGTCGTCGGATGTATCTCGGCGATCCTCTCACACAGGAGATTATTCAGGTTGAGGACGAGATTCTTAGACTTCGAAGCATGACGGATAATCTTCAGGATTATTTGTCTTTTTTCCGCCTGTGGCCATTTAATGGGTATTATTCGAAGGCGGTTAAGCTACGCGAACGTCGAGACGCGTACGTTGCTAGACTGAATCAGGAGATTCAAGCGAAGATGAGAAACAACAGCCATGAAGAATGCCTCTACTCTAAAAATCAAACCTGCCCGCATCCACTTCCACTGGAGGAGCTGTCCACGGTCCTGCTTACCTTTCTTTCGGGGGGGTTAGCAACAGAGAGTAACACAATACACTGGAGTTTAACTCTTCTCGCCACCCGACCCGAAATCCAGGAAATTGCCTATAAGTCTATACGGGAAGTTTACCCGAACAATGAACAGCTTTTTAAAGCTGGGCTCGAAGATGTGGAGGAAATTCCTTACATATCTGCCCTGGTCCGTGAGTCTCTAAGGTACGACTTTCTTTCCGAGAACTTCTGTATATTTTATTTCTAATCAACCATAGATACTACACTCCGTCGCGATTGGCTCTTCCTCGACTAGCTGTACAAACCTTCCAATATGCGGGGAAGATCATCCCTAAGGGGACCACAGTTATATTGAACACATTTGCATGTAATATGGGTTAGTCTTGCAACCCCGACCGCCGAAGGCAATAAACTTACAATTATTTCCTAAAAAGATCCTACCTTGTATGGGGATCCCGAAAATTTCCGTCCTGAACGTTGGCTTAACAACCCCGATCTTCCAATTTTTAGCTATGGCTTGGGTTACCGCATGTGTGCTGGCTATGCACTTGCAAATCGGGTGATTTATATTCTACTAGCCAGAATTATCTCATGTTTCGAAATTAGCGCGAGCCTGGAGGTTGATGCTGATCATATAACCGGCTGTGCTGATCCTGCCCATCAGGCCATGGCTCCAAAGCCCACTGGCTTCTACTTTCGACTAAGGGATGTTAAAGTATTGGATATTTGCTCTGCGGCATTATAGTTGTGGATAGACTGCGGCAAAACCATGGACAACCGCGGATAACCAAAACCGCAACCGCAAACCGCACTGTGGGCGGTTGTGGTTTTCACTTTGGAAAACCGCGGTTTTGCGGTTATCCATGGATATGTAAACATTACAAACATGCTGAAACTTGTGACTTTCCAGTGAATGCATAAATTGTGCACTTTTCGCAGTATTTTTGGAGTATCTAGTATGTAATAGATTACTTATATCTCTTAATTTAAAACCTTTAGAATACACTTTTAGACCAAATTCGATTTCTATTCTAAGTCTCTAATATTACAGCTTATCAATCTCAAATCCCTCAGGTAGCTTAGGCCTCTTCCGAACCCTCCCTGACCGCGCCTGCGTCTTCTCAATTGGCATATCAGGAAGTGGGAGACCATTATCAGCATCATCTATAGCCTCAGAGGTGTTACTTCGGCACCGCTTCCGTTGTACCTGCTTAGTTTGAGCTACAGGCTGCGTGGTAGATAACCCTTCTTCTGCCTCGTTATCAGATTCGTCTGTATCATCCTTGAGATAAATCCTCTGCTTCGCAACCCTCTTCTTCATTATCACTAATTGGTTCGAGTTCATTAAGCAATGGAACAGGCTGTCTTGTCTGATCAAGCATAGCAGCCTCTCCGACAGAGAGATACTCTTTAATCATCTCTAGCTCGCTTTGTTCAAGATCAAACTTAGATGAGAAGAGATGGAGCATTAGATCTTTAATTGTGCCTGGCTTTAACTGTCCCCGACGATAGTGACAGACATCACGAGCACAATTAAAAGCCGCTCAACACCAGCGCCACTCGCAGGAACTGAGAGGATATCTCGTGCAATCTTTGCAAGGACTGGATACTCGTGCTCATGCTCCTTCCAGAAGAGCCGGGGATTACCTTTTGTAAGCCCTATAAAATTAATTAACTTCAGAATAGTATAGAAATAGAGAATATTTACCTTTTACCAAATATCGTGTTATTTCATCCTCCGGTTAATCCACTTCAGCTTGTAGAGCTGTCTGTGATTCACATAATAGCTCAAGCTCATTTTCAGCAGGATCAAAATTGCTTGGTTATCAACTGGTTCTGTTTCCTGGATAACCTGCTGCTGATATCGCTTAAACTCCTTCTGTAAAACCTCCTGGTAATACTTCATAAAATCAACTTCCTCTCCTTTCTCATTTTTTCCTCTCCAATCCGCATTATCAAAGTATCGAAGCTTTTTTAATAGACAGAGAATTGTTGCAATCGCATAGACTGTGCCATATAACTTATTGTCTGTTTCAGTGTAGTATTTTGAGAGCTTTTTTTTTTACTGACTGAAGTGCCTGAAGCATTCTCCTTTTCCATGGGACAGCTTTACGTTTCAGTTTCTTCTCAACGTCATTAAGATGATTAAATAGCCGATTGTAGATACTAAAGACATGGTGAACTGTAACATCTCTGGTCTTTGATAATACACTAGTAAAATCAAAGAAAGGCTTAGTGATCAGAAGCAAATATTCGACTTGGCGCCATTCCTCTTCATCTAGCTTAAATTGAATATGTTGATATGTTATACAATACCGATTAAAGACTGATTATAATTTCCTGGCACGATTAAGCATCAGAAAGGTAGAATTCCAGCGTGTGCGAACATCTTGGATCGGAACAAGCTTAGGCTCAGTAGTTTAAAGGGTAAGAAAAGCTTCCCTGCACTGTGGACTAGCATTGATAAAGACAGCGAGCTCTCGAATCTAAGGATATTAGTATAAGTATAAAGAGAGCGCGAAGATATACTTACCTTTTTAAGGTTCCCATAATATTCCTTGTAGGCTGCCGAGAGCTAGTTTGTAGTGACTGTGTACGCGTATCAGACCACTCAGTCTCTGCTTCCTTATTTGTTGGATTTGCTTTTATCTTTCCAAGTAGATCCTTTAGGCTAAGCTGGATAACATGCGCAATACATGGAATTCGGAAGACAGAAGTCCCACTTAGAGCTTGCGATTGAATCATCTCTTGGATACCTACTATCATGGTGTTGTTATTTGACGCATTATCTGTGGTAATTGATAATACACGATTATCAATATTATGTTCCATGAGTATTCGAATCACAGTCTGACTTAAGTGAGCACCGGTATGCGATCCTTGGAGATGCTCAAAACCAAGAAGGACCTCGCAGTAATTCCATTCTTGATCAAGAAAATATCCAGTAATTGCCATAAATGCCTGGGAAAAGGGAGATGTCCAGCAGTCAAGTGTAACTGAGAGATAGCTTCCTTTTAGAAGTTTGCTAAGCATATTTTGTTGCCTTTCCTGTACAGTGTCGTCTAAAAGTCGTCGGATAGTCCGCGCAGAAGGAATATCAAGCCTTGATTCAGAGAGTTGGGCAGCTTCGAGAAGGTCTTTAAACTCTGGGTGTTCAACAATACGAAATGGGAGACGGGCGGTGGTAATAAAGTTAAGAATTCTTCGCTGGAAAAGATTATTGGTAAAGACCTTCTTTGTTAGTGCACGCGGCTAGATAATACTATTATTAGTGATCTCTCTTTATATCTTTAAAACAATATTCAAAACGTACTGAATCACGTATTAACTGGTTAATCCCTTGCCTCTTTTTTTTCTAAGCGACATGTACCGCCGTTCAGATGTGCTTTAAGTGCAGAGGTTCCTGTATGCTTATAACCTGGATAAGTAAGGGTTGCAAAACACCGCTTACACATAACCTTGGGCTTGCCAGTCTTCTCGTGTGCAACCTGTTTAAAATGCTCCCAAAGTACTGATGTTTTTTCCCATCCCAATGTAAGCTATCTCGGCATTAAGAGTTTAATCCAAACGTAGTTGTTAACCACCATTCCACAAATTGTTTCCGGGAGTCGTCCATCTCAGGTTTAGTAGCATAGAGAATCCAGAACTTTCGAAGTGTAGATCCGACACGCTTAAGTGACTTCGGCGCATAAGAAAATCGCGGAGGGGAGTAAAAGGAATAGAAGTCACGGTTGGTTAACTGCTTGGTAAATCAGGAAGGTCATCTAATTAAAGAAGATCGGGGATTAATAAAGGAATCAGAATAAAAGGATACTTGGGACTGAGACATTATCGTAAGTTCCTAAAGATTAGAAACTAGAAATAATAAAAAGAGACATCAGGAGAAGAGAGAGAGGGAGAGGGACTTACAGGAATTCCCCTATTATTTAGGAGATAAACAGGTTGCAACCACAAGTTCGACCTGTACAAAACTATACTCTATGTTAATTGGGTGACTAGCGATAGTAGTGCGGTTTTAATGCGGTTTTAACATGGTTATCTTGCGGTTATCCATAATAACCGCAAGATAACCGCAATGAAAAAAAACACCAAATTCAAGCAATTTGAAATAGAAACCTGGTTTCTCCTGAATTTTTAAGTAAATATACTAAATTTAAAGTAAAATATAAATATAATAGGCTCTTCTCTATTCTTCAGTAATAATTTTAATCTATAATAGCCTGATTTAGTTAACCTACGAAATCTTATAAAGTTCATTTAGAGAGTGTACTAACTTCTATTTGTATAAAATATATATTTTTACAACAACATCCTGAATTCCTTAGTAATCTTAAAATCTCAGACAACACCACTTACTAGCTACGCAAAATAAGAGGTGATATATCAATATTCGGCTCGTTATTTAAGAAAAAGGATCAAAGTAAGCGATAGGGTGGATATCCATATATACTACAATGCTTTATCACCCTCCCACAACCAAATATAGAAGATAAAATAAGCAAGAAACTACACAAACCGATATTGCAAACTAATGCTACAATGACTCATGCGTTGCAAGGAAGCAATATTACTATCTAACTTTGGTGAATGGTGATGCTAGGATCGGGCCAGGACCTCACGGCGATGATATAATGCCCAAGACCATCTTGGCTACTTATAATATACTAATGGTCTAGTGGTAACGCATTAGATCTAGTAATCTAGAGGTACTGGGTTCGATTCCTAGTAGGTGCTTAAATCGATGTTAGACCATCTGTACTGCAGCTGGCTAATATCGACTCGTCCAGTGCCTAATCCTATGGAGGACCTCTGGATATTTTTATTATTTTACATGCTTTTATTTAACTTTTAGAGTAAGCAAACATACTTTAACAGGGGCGAAATGCCTTGCTATTTAATAACTAGATATACACAAAGAGGAATCGTTAAGATAATAAAAGTAAAGGGAAAGAAGCATGCGTTCTTATACTACAAGAGGTGACGAGGTTATATAACTGCAATAAGCGGACCAATCACGTGCGCCAATTGCAGCGAAGGCGAATAGGAATAATATACAGGCGTGGCCTGCAACACATTCCTTGTCTTCAAGTTTTCGTAATAGCTTATTATTGTACACTCCCGGAGCATATTGCCTGGGTACACGTATATAAAACGTTAGAGGAGCTACAACCAATAGGGGCAATAGGGACAGTTGGGACAATAAGGACAATTGGCCTGAGAGGTTAACCAGGCTCACTGTATTAACCAGAACAGGTGTATTTTCAAATTAAAAACAAGAGTATGTAAGCCGCATAAGTGTCACCTGATATGCTAGAATTGGTTAAAGAAGCGAGAGTTATGCTAGTGCGGTTTTCTTGCGGTTATCCATGGGTAACCGTGGTTAAACCACAAATCTGCGGTTGTGGTTTTGACTATGATACCCAAAACCGCGGTTTTGCCGCAGTCTAGTTGTGGAGGTCTTTAACGTCGTATACCCCTATTTCAATATTTTATATTTCTGTATTATACCACCCAACAGGTTTTAAAAATAATAAAAACTATATAATTAGTTTAATATACAATTATTATGTAAGGGGCTAGAGCCCCTCAGCCTACTCGGGCCTACTACGGCAAGCCATTAAGGCCACTCCCTGAAAATAAAAATTTCTCATTTTCTGCCGGCAGAACTACCCCATGTGACTTGCTTGGCTTCACCATATAAATGGCTACTAGTCCTAAGCACCACGTAAAGGTGCAAGTCATGCTTAGGTGTTGTACACAGGGCCTGTACAACTAGGCGTGCAGGTGCAGGTATTGGTGCTTGTGCATGCATATAAAAAATTACACCTACCTAAAGAAGAATAGGATGATCCTTATCCCCTCCCAGCCTCTCTCACTTACAACCCCCCTCACGCCCAAACTATGCCACCTTGCAGCAAACCCTCGCGAACTCTGCCACGCGCGGTCTGATGGACATCTCCGCCTTCCCAACGCAAGCCAAGTTCATGGCCCTCCAGTGTCGACTGGGGAACGTGCAAAACGCCCTGGAAGTTGGCACTCTGGGTGGCTATACTGCCATCTACATCGCGAGCTTGAACCCGGAGATTAAGATCGTAAGCATCGAGATCGATCCTATAAGCGCCGAGATCGCGCGCGAGAACATTGCTGCTGCGGGGTATACGAACCGCATTGAGGTGCTCGTCGGCGCCGCCATTGAAGTGCTGCCGCAACTGCAAGCGAGGATCGACCGGGGAGAACAGGAACGCTTCGGGTTCACTTTCATCGACGCTAATAAGGATGGTGGCTGGGATTACTTTGATTATGCGGTGAAGATGAGCGTGTCGAAAGCGAGCATCATCGTAGATAATGTGGTCCGAGCCGGGGCTCTAGTACGGGAAGACTTCATCAAGAATGATATCGACGTGCAGGGGTCTCGGAGGACAGTCGAGAATGTGGGTAAAGACGATCGAGTGGATGCCGTTGTTTTACAGACCCTAAGTGAAAAGAGCTACGATGGGTTTTTGATGGCGGTGGTGAAATAATTGCTAATGCAGTTTGGACATTGTCCACGGCGAGACATAGAGTCAACCAGATGGTAGAATCACCCGGATATGCAATTTGATACAGCTGTCTTGTATGCGATGCTCTGGAGTATTTATAATTTCCTCTGGTACGCTCATGTGGATATTATAATACGAAGGTCATTGTCACCAGTCCTCTCTCCAGCCGGAAATACTCGATATGTTGTGATAACTATTTAAATGTCCTGGCATCCTCCATGCTTTTATAACATTTCATGCACCATACAATCAGCTTTGGACTTGAATAGTGGAAAGAAATATTACGCACGCCCTGGCCATGCACTCCTAATAATTAGTACTCCACCTTTTGTTTGCTTTAGTCAAAATGTACTCAATACATGCAAGCATGCACAACTACGCTTCATGTGTTAAATTATTGCGGTTGGCCCACTTCCTTGAACTAGAGCGCAAAATATAATGTATATATGGATATTCAACCAGGTCCAAAGGCAATAGTACCATTCAATAAGCATGTTCTCCGCTGCTTTCTGACATTAACTTGTTTCTCTATAGGATATTGATGCAACCAGGCGAAGACTATATTGACATCAAACATGTTGAGGACCCTTTTAAGGACCCTTAGTAGAATTATGTGCACCGCTACTATTCACTTCTTTTGTGTAGCTAAGATCAAGACAGAGAACATGCTTGTAGGATGTCCCTCATTAGCCCGATGGCCCTATAACAGCGTTGGAAAGTTATCTTGACGAAGAAGATAGAGCCCTATAACGAATGTCAGGAATTATGTGGCGCGAAGTACAAAGCGCATGTGGTACTCTTACCATATGAGCCCTCCTCATCAGACCAGTCCTTAAGGACCTTGATGCCTGCCGCTTGGCAAATGCTAGCGACCTTTGCCTTGGGCCATTTCCCACTGGTAATTGCCCGGACTTTCTCCCCAGCACCGACATGAAATCGATTATCGCCAATGTCCAATGTCATTTCCCGTTTGGCAACGTAGAAGCTTTCATGCATGGATTTTAATGGATTCCACTTCCCCACAAATGTCCAGTGTTGCGGATTTAACACTTCGGATCCCAGGATCTCATTAGCATGCGACAGTCCATTGAACACAAACTCGCGAGATAGTTTGTTTGGCATGTCATAAGCGTTGAGAATCTGGTCCACGCTTTGGCAACCGTCCACAGCGATGATCATCTTGGGGGAGTGTGACGGGGCAGTCTCCACATGGAGAAAGTCTGCTAGTAATCTAGATGCTTCCTCCGGCTCGAAATTTGCAATGCTGTTGCCCAGCCACAGGAATGTAGTTTTCACAGTCGCGCCACTCTGCTTGAGCCATGATATACAGTCATCATATGAGCCTATGAGTCCGCTAATAGTGACATATGAAGCAAATGGGAGCTGCGCCTTAAGCTCAGTAATGCTGCTTTGTAATGCAGCATGGCTTACATCGAGCGCAAAATAGTCAACATGCTTTCTAGTCTGTTCAAAGCTGCGCAGTACCGAGGCAGTCTTGTGCAAATTACTTCTCCTGTTAGATAACTCCATGATCCCACCCGGTGCCCACCGGCTTCTTAGATGGTACTCACCCCGCACCAAGCTCTATTAATCGTTCGCCAGATGAAATTGAGCGCGTGATATCGTGAATATGGGTCTGCAGCAATTGTCTCTCCCGCGAGCGAGGATAGTATTCGTCGCTATTCAATATTCTGCTAAATAGTTCCAACCCTCGGTCATTCCACAGTAGAAGAGATGGCAATTGTTTAATATCAGCCCGAAGTCCAGTCAAAATCTGATGATACAGATCTATATGAGAGGCGCACTTGCGGATATTGAAAATTTGAGTGGCCTGGGTATTAGATGAATCTGCATCAGAATCCATATTTTCTATACTATTATATAGAATGGAATCACCAGAAAGTTGGATAGAAGAGTAAAAGTTAGACCTAGGATCTAAATAAGATGACGAAGGATCTTGTAGCGGTGAAGGTATACCACAGTACTCTGTACTGTATTTATACACACCTCTAAAAAACCTCTTGGCAAGGACCCACCAGTTACACATATAAGTAAAAAAGACAAAAACTCACTTAAACTATCTTAGATAAGTAGAGCTCGGCAAATATCTGCAGATAACAGATAACTTGCAGATATTTGCCGAGCTCTATTCCAGCTTTTCCCGCTGTCGCCTGAGAGACGCCCAGACTATAATAACCACCTAATCGACCCTACACTAAAATTGTGGAGTTCGCGCTGCGTATGAGGGACAGAAAGTCATCCCAGCAGAGAAAGAATCCAAACCCGAGACTGCTGTAAATACCTGGAACATTTGGCAGGGATGAATTCTTGGCATAGTTACTCACGATTTATGTGGTTAGATTATAGGCCAGGCTCTGGGACTCGTAACAGTTTTAAGTGCGGGGGGCCAATAACGCTTCTTTTGTGTGGGGCTGCTAGAAACGATTCCCGAAGCTGTTAAGGAGAGGGGGGTGGAGTGGATCTTAGTAACAAGACCTCGCCATAGTTAGTTATTGCTTTTTGGGTTAACCGGAAACCCGCCAAAGAACCCAATGTTATGCGTGGGGGTTGGTAACGAGCTGAATGGGGCGCTACGGTGCGAAAGGGAGTGTCTATATGGGAGAGAAGATAGGACCACGTATATTGCAGAACTAATCGCTGGCCTTCAAGAGTTCAGGCCCGCGGGTGCGAATATAACTAAACACTTCGCACCTGACTAAGCATCTTAGCTAAGGATCTAGCTATCGCGCTTCCGAGCGCTCCTAACACCCAAAGCCTAATATAATACGGTAATGCATACAAAATTCGAAAGTTTAATATGAAGAGTTATGTAATAGTTTTTGTATAACTATAGTTAACTAGTTAAGTTAGTTATTAACTTACCATTATTTATTTTTCTTGGCAGGTTTTGGAGTCGGGTTGCCGAAACCCAACCCGCGATTTGGCAAGGTCTAGGCCCCGCCTCGGGAGGGATGGCCAAATATCATGTTCCCCATCTTTGTTACTGTTTGGCCCTCCCCCCTTGATAAGTGGCCCCCCTCCCAATTTGGTTAGCGCCCTTGGAATTTCAACATGTTTGCTTTGTGTAACAGGTATGCAGGTGGGGGCACTGGAAGGCACGGATAGTAATATTTTATTTTTTTATGCTATAAAAATTTCTAGACTATACCCTATTAGGAAGTGGGATGGGATTCGGGATCTTAGGTTAAGAAATGGGACGGGAAACGGGACGTGATTTTTAAGATAAGAGGGAATGGGAATATCCCTTCCCGAATCCCAGATAATGGGAATCCCTTCCCGAATAGCTTGGCATGGGAAGGGAATTAAAATTTAATTCCCATTGGGAATATGGGACGGGACTTGAACCCGTTCGGGATCCCGATTCCTCCTAACGGTCAGCCTAGCAACTGGTTGGTGGATTTGTGAATGTGGAGAAGAATTTTTCGGAATTAAGTTGGGTGGGGGCTTGTAGCTCGGCGTGGTCTAAAAAAAAAAACCTCGGCGTGGGCTAAAATTCTGCCCCGAGACTCACCGCTCTTTTTTTAGACCACGCTGAGCTTATGCCAAGAATAAACTCATCATGGCCTAAATGATTAGTCAGTATTCTTAGGCCACGATGAGATTTTCAAAAGATTTTTTAGACCACGCTGAGCATATGCACTGGGGCTTAGTTACTCTAATTGGTAAGGTGTAGCCCTAAGAATATTTTGTACTATACAATACAGGGTATCCACCCTGCATATACTCTGTATAGGTTGACCAAACCACAACAATGGCTGGTACCGAAGTTCGGGAAAGAATGGTAGAATGGATCAACAATATCCCAATCCAGGTATGTGTATATATGTTTATTATATACTGGGTATATACAAACCCTATACTGTAGTGGAGGAATTCGGGGCAGGCTTGGCAAGGATAAACTCCCGCTCGGATCATTCGATGGATAATCCTTATCCGTCCCACGGATAATCCATCGAATAATCCGGGATAATTGGCAGAAACTCACCGCTTATTCTACCCACACTGCCCGCAATAATTATTCAACTTCTACCCCGCTGTCCTATCTTATTTCACAATATTGTTGTACAAAACATGGATTCTGAAGCAGATTCATCTAGTTTCTTACCTTTGCCTACTGATTCAGCAGATACTGAGCCAAAAAAAGGAAGAACACCAACTGCGCAGATGACATGGTCCCACACTCGTCCAGCTAATAACGGAGAGGCTCAATTTCATAAAGATCGGTCAATCCAGTATTGTATTTATTGTACAAAATCACCGTACGGCACCTCTGTTACTACCAATATGCGAAATCATCTTAAAACAAAGCATCAAATCCTTATTGATCCTACTCTAAGCTCTCTACAACAATCAACTGTCAATCAATTACAACTATTATATTCTAAAGCAGATTCCTCGGGCGAAACACAACAATTTGATACCCAGGTCCTTCAAAAAGTGCTAAATCAAGATATTGTTATAAGGATTGGTATCCTTAATTGTTGTACGAAACCTTCCATTCTCTCTTGTTGAATAGCCTGAGTTCCATACATTTTGCCAAGTGCTTAATCCAGAATCTAAGAGTTATATTATTACGGCACATAACTCTATCCCCAAGAGGATTGAACAGTCATGGCAGACACAAAAGGATATTATACAAAAAAGACTTCAGTCAGCATTATCAAGTGTTCATCTTTCACTAGATATCTGGACCTCTCCGAATCGGCTGCTTTTTCTTGGTATTTGCGCCCACTTTGTTAAGCAAAGTCAGGAGAAACTATCAAAGGCCCTTCTTGCTCTTCGTACAGTTGCAAATCACAGCGGAGAAGAGCAATTTATTACTCTTCTTCCTGTTTTAAAAGACTACGGTATTACACAAAAGCTTGGGGCTATTGTTTGTGATAATCATACTGTAAATGATAAGCTTTGCCGTACAGTGGCTAAGTATCTAAGGGAAAAAGAAAAAATTTCATGGGATCCTATATATCGGCGAATTTTTTGTATTGGCTATGTTATTAACGTGGCTGTACAAGCATTCCTATTTCAAAATGTGGTCGATATTGAACAACTCAGCTTGTACGACGAAGAAGAAGCGATGGAAGGAGTTGGAAGAGACAGAATTAAAGATACGCAAAGACAAGCCACCTTTCGTGCAATGGGTCCACTTGGGAAGCTTCATAATATTGTGACACATATTCGTGGCTCAGCTGGCCGTACAAAGGAGTTTAAAGATTAGCAGGGAGACTAATTCCACTTGACAATCGTACAAGATGGAATAGCTGGTATTATATGCTTTATATTGCTCTTCAGTATGAGGGTGCTATTATACCTATACTAAAAAGCATTTTGATACCCTCCAAGTGGAGTATCTATTTCCAATAGACTGGGAAAAGCTTCGTACAATAAGCAAATTCCTAAGTCTCTTTGACATGCAACCCTGAAAACACAAGGCAACCAAGCAACAATTGATAATGTGCTTTTTGTAATGGATGTTATTATAAAGCACTTTGAAAATGCCCTTGCAAGTTTACTCTTATATTCCTTATAATAATATAACTTAACTAATACTGTACAACAGATTGAGCATGCACCAGATAAAAATTCTGTGCTCGGATTCAAAATGGCTGGGATACCTTTGATAAATACTACAGTAAATCAGATGATTCACCTCTCTACGCTGCAGCACTTATTCTTCACCCAGCTCGTCGTACAAAGTATATTCAGGCAAATTGGAAAAAGAGCTGGTGTCGCTATTGAACGCCAATTTAATATTGGTCGTGATATCTGCCAATACCGCCGTGGGAAACTTCAGGGTCCAACAATTAAAAAAAATCATGATCCTCAAAGATGCCAATCCCGATCTTATAGATCAAGATCTGGCTAATGATGAGTATCTATCTGTTGAGTGGGATGATGAGGAGGCTGTGCAGAAGCATGAGAATATTATTGCTCGTCAGGCTATGACTGAGAAGATACTTGCACAATCATTAACGTTTGTTACTCTGGCGTAGAATTAGATGATCAGCCACCAGCGGCAGAACTCGCCATTTTAAGACTGTCGTTGAGCCATTGACTGTTACATTAATCTGTTACCTCTTCTTTGTTCTTGATTATACATCCTTACAATAATAATTCATCTCCCGTGTTTAAACTAGTCAAGTATTGTTACCTGAATCTGTTAGAAGATATATTTAGGAAAATCCTATAGGGAAATTCCCATTTCTATTGGGAATATCCCACTTCCCATATTCCCAATGGGAATTTCCTTTCCTCTAACTGAGCGGGAAGGGAATTTCCTTTTCTAATCCTAATTCCCAAGGGAAATTCCCATATGGGAAATGGGACGGGAAACGGGACGTGATTTTTAAGATAAGAGGGAATGGGAATATCCCTTCCCGAATCCCATATAATGGGAATCCCTTCCCGAATAGCTTGGCATGGGAAGGGAATTAAAATTTGATTCCCATTGGGAATATGGGACGGGACTTGAGCCCTTTCGGGATCCCGATTCCCTCCCAACGGTCAGCCTACTAGGGACCCATGGGGAGGTTTATGGCGAGGTCTAATCTAGGGATCTAACATGGGTGTCAGTGGAATTTTGATATCTGCATTCTGATTGGCTGGTCAAACTGTGTTCTGAATTTGTATATTAATGTCTAATAATTGCGTCATGCTATGTTGCATTTTTATATGGAGAATCGAATAAAAAGCATTCCCATTAATACTATAATGCCTTCAAGGTTGTAGGTCACATGATACGTTCCAATGTAGTATACGGAGTAAATATAAATAGCTATATAGTATAGTGCGTTTCAAGATGACGGTAATATAACGCCCAGAATAGAAGCCCACTAAGTTTGGCCTCGGGAATTGCTTCCGCAGCCCCACCGGACCTAATAGAGCTAGGTTTGATGGGGCTGCTCTATTAGGTTTGGTGGGGCTGCGGAAGCAATTCCCGAGGGGAACACGATATTTGGCCTCCTTCCGGCTATCCTTCTATTATATACAAAGATATGATCTCCACTGCATCAAGTATGACACACGCTTGTTCTCCTTTTTCAGCCGGTATAATGTCTGCGCCCTGTTATCATATCTACGCAGCCCCTTTTTTTCGGCCCATTTTATGGCTTCAGTTTTAATTTTTCGTTCCATGGTTCGCCGTAAAGCCTCCCCTAAATCCTTCCCCAAGATTTTCTGGTCCTCTATTCAGACTTAGCCAGCTTACGTGTTCCGAAATATTATGTTAGAAGAACAGCCAAAGATGTATCACATAGCAGTGGCTAGTGTCTATTTCTATAATACAATACATTAGTGAAGCTGGGTGTTGAGCTCAACATTTCAACCATGAGCAGCAGCGATGATTTTATTGGATGGATTGCAGACAGTCACAAAGGTTCTCATCTCCGATTCCGTATTGCCTGACCATCGATGACAGAGTACTCCGACCTAATATAATCATCCTGATAGATACCTTAGCTGCCTGCATTCTTTAACAGGAGGCTCATGCCTTTTGTAGAGCACCAACCTGTCTCTTAAACTTAAAAGAGAGGATAAAAGGACAAATAAGCAGAGTACTTGTAGAATCTCATGCACGTAAGGCTAATAAGAGTAGTTATACAGCATAGTAGCTCTGTATTGAATTGTGCCATTTACTTCCAGGGGGCCAACAATAGAGGATTGATTAAACAAACTTGATACCTGACTCAGGTAGTGCAACAAGGTGATAAATGTAGGTGGAAGCCTAGATGGTGTAGGTCAGCTACTATCGCTCACTCTACCAAGGTAGAAATAGAACCATGGACCCACCGGTTAGTAAAACAGAGTTATTTCGACTGAGTCCAGCAGGTCCCAGACGAATCTTCCAGGGGCTCACGTACAACGCAAGACACTAGGGAAAGTGTAGGTATGGGCATAAACTTCCTTTCCGCCGTCCTTCCGCGTGATATGGAAATATTAATGCGGAGAAATTGGGGGTTCCACTATTGGTTCATTATGTGCTCTCTTTGGTTACCATTGTTGTGTCTATCAGATCTGGGCTTGGGAACAAGTCTTGTATTTTGCATGACCCTGCATGTGACAAACTTGGAGGATCTATTACTAATTAGCATTAAGGTGAGTAGGAATTAGAAATATAAAAAGTTCCAACTTCCCACCTTTAGTAACAGCGTCTCTGGAGACCCGTAGTGTCCCCCTTTGTCTTAATTTACTTTACCTAAATTTACTTTACCTATACGCAAATAAACTTCATATCATCTAGTACCCTATCTGCTGACGATCTTATTATTACTGTTATCTATATGCTACAAGGTCAGCGGTGACCCACTCGTCCAAATGTCAAATCACAATGAAATAAGTTTGCTCTTGCAAACTAATTCAGCCCTACGATCTGGCCGGGAGCTTTCTCCTGGTGAGCACAGCAACTACTTCTCCAGGATAATCCATGATCGAGAAGACTTTGAGCCCAAGGTTCTCAATTTCAATGCAGACCATGGCCCAGAAGGCAGTTTTATCTACTTTCATCTCCAGTCAAACTCCCTGTTGCTGGATGACGCATTATGGACTCATTTAATATTTGGGAAACACTGGATCCAGTGTGATATTACATACTTAGGGTTCTGGTGCTCAAAACAGCAGTATTCCATGAGTGCCTATGTCCACAGCACGCCAAGTCAGCCGGATATTACTTTGCATACGCCTCTGTGGGCAATTGTGCATGACGTGGAGACGCTAGCGCCTCATATTCTCTATGTGGGAGAATACTCTTACCAGGCAGAATTGGGCAAGTCTTGGGATACTAGAAGCAAGGCAGATATGTCCCGCACGCTCCCTACCCCAATACAGGGTGGGCAAAGGTCCATACCGTGTGAGTCAGTATCCGAATCACAAATTGGCTCCCACAATGCGAGAAATTTAGGTCAGCTGGGCCACGCCATGGATATAATCGAACCAATACAAGCGTCGTACTGCGGGGACGATAATATGGCTGCTTCAACAACTCCCGTTTCGGTGATGATAAAACCGTTGCCACCAACGGCAAGACTATCCAAGGATGCAGTTAATGGAGCGAGCGTTGTACCCCAGGACAAACCGTTTCTGATTGGGGAGGAAATGAAACTCGGAGAAACACCCAGGAGATTAAGTGCTACTCTACTTTGGACGCCACCATTTGCTGAAATGGACGATGCCGACAGTACAAACCCACCAACTCCGCAAATACCTACTTCTTCTATACTTTATATATCCTCAACCCTTATGGATATGGTGTTTAACTGGACCAGAAAGGAAATCGGTTATCGCCGAAGAATTGTCCACTTTGTACGCCATCCGCAGAGCAGGCACCTTGTTGATATTAACTTATTCCTTCCTTTGCATCGGCGACCAGGAGTCGATTTGCTATGTGTTAGCTGCATTTACTGGCCTGGCTCGGGCGACTGTTTTATCACAAGTTCTGATATTCTTCGGCTTCTTCAGTGGCTTCTTCAGACTCCTATGTTCTTACGCTTGGAAAAATGTCGGATTCGACGGAACTTGGATCGTTTCCAACCCCATCTCATATCAAAGTCCAACCCCGAAAGTTTTGAATTTGCACGTATGGTCCGAGGTTTCCGAAACCCAAGAGTGGTTACCGTCCAAAAAGACATGAAAGTTTTCCCATGGCGGATACTCCCGTCAGCGATTACCAGTATTCTCCAGAAGCATAAGGTTCAGGTGCATTTCCTAGCTTATAACGGGGAAATAAACTCCGTGAACTTAGCCCAACTTCTCATTTCATATTAGTGTCTGTTTTACGTATTTTCTTATATAGTGGCATGACTGTTCGGTGGGTGTCATATTGTGTGCCTAGAGACTGTGCATCAGCAATGTCGTAATTTCAAATAATTCCAAATAAATCAAGGTACATAAAACAGCACGAGGTAAAGAAACAACTAAATTTTATTATACGCTGATTACCGTAAAGTCATAGAGCGTCAGATGCCTATATAACTATCCATGCCACACAAGCACAGCTGTCATTAAGAACAGTGGTTGGCCCAATTTGCACTTCTCTCTGATACATAGTCGAATCACTTGCTCCGCAAGAACTGGCCGATAGGACTCAGGCTGATGGTGCAGCTGTAAGGCCAGTGCCCTTCTACTTGTAATGGAGAAGCAGGTAGAGGACAGCTTCTCCTTTATGCTACCCACTGCGTCGTTGCTACTTCCAGCAGGTTTACTTGGCGTTATTATGCATAGAGGTACTTCACCCCAACTTTGTACTTTTTTGGTATGCTAGAATCCTATCTCCGTGGAACGTCTGAATTCGTAACTTATTCCGAGGCAGATTCCCCAGGGTCAGGGGGAAGGACCGGACAAAATCACTTTCTAGACGTATTGTTATACTCTCACCTCCATTCCAAGAGGACGTTTCTCAACAAAAACATCGCGCTCCGGGTCCTTTGTGTCCCTCACCAAGGCGTGCGCGATCATCTGGTATCTGAAGCATGTACCGAGGATTCGAACCAAAGGATATTTTTCAAATACGGTTTTCAGGAACTTCTGGAGTGTCTGCATCTATGGCGACTGGTCAACGATATACACTGGGCGAACTGCAGGTGATCAGAACGGCATCAATGGTGCAGTTATCACATGGATCGTCTTCCAGCGTAGAGCCAAGCTTGGCGAACTCCGGATAGTGGCCTCCCCAGACATCGTAAGGAATTACAGAGATATCCACGTTGGTTGGCGTAATATCATTTAAAGCCAAAGCGGCCCCTTCGAGAACGGATTGGAAGTGAATACTGCAGAGCCCACGAGCCTCGTAGAGGCTTCGAGCTGGAATATCAACGTTAAGAACAGCGATTCGTATGTTGGCCCATGTTTCTCACTGTAGGTATGCTATTATTTTGTGTTGTGGAACTACAGTAGGTCAGAGGAATTGGCATTGAATAGAGTGAACTAAGCCATTGAATTGGATGAGCGAACTTAGTTAGTATACAGGAATTTCGTCCGTGGGAAGACATAATAAGCGAGGACTTCGCCGATCGTTCGGGTAATCCTTCGGGCCGATCCCATATTCGTAACACTAATGTAGCAGATGCTGTTGTCTATCCATTATAGTTTTCTTTTCTTTTCCCTCTCCTTCTCTATTATAAGTCTGTTTATTTTTCAAGTTGTTTATACAGTGTCTACACTTCTCTTAGTCCCTTCAAGAATCAAGATTTGGCAGAACAATTAAGTTCATAAGTCGATAATTAATGTTTTAAATTTTTTTTTTTTTTTTTTTCTCTTACCCCTGGCTTGTTAAGGTCGTGACATTCTCGAAAAGGACACAATATGTTGGTTTATTTTAAATGTTTCACATGTACTTTGCCAACCACGGCCCACAGCCAATGGCCGAGTCTGGCTTCCTTGATTAGTGATAAGGAACGGTCCAGTCCTAGTCCATATTTCGTCCAGGAGTACACAGGTCAGGTGCCGCTTCGTCCAGGTTACAGGTCGGGTGGCACCGTTCTAGAGGTGAGATGCCGCGCTAGTTAGATTTCTTACCTCTCCAGTACAATCAGTATTCGATGTGTCTTCAACCTCACCAAAATATAACGAAGAATCTTCTACATCCATATTAATTTGATTGGCATAAGCAGTTGATAATTGATTGGCAAGTAGTTAGAGTAGGGAAAATATTCGATGGTAAGAAATATTTATGGAGGGAGAATTGAAATTGAATTTCGTCGTCTGTAGTACGGTATTTAAAGGGTGAGGTGCCGCGCCGCTTGTGCCAAGACCAGTGGGGCCGGCTGACGGCTTCTGGGAAGCGGCACCTGACCTGTGTACTCATATTCGTCTCCTATTACTAGGAAGCTAGAAAGGTCTTTTCGAAAGATACATTTTCCGAGCTCTAACTGTGGGGTGGGCTTGGTCTGAAGCGTAGTATGGTTCAATCTTCCCTTCTTCCTGTTTCATTATACGCTTATGACCGTAGACGCCAAAAACTCGAGGGCGGCTTGCCTACGATGATGGTTAATTTGCCCTACTCTTGTATCAGTACTACTTTTCCTGGGGTTGTAAGTCTCCATCAAACAGGGAACAAACGCATGAAGCTGACTTTCAATCGTATAAAACCGAATAAAAGCACTGCCCCTATAACATTATTTCCCCACTAGTAGGCCTAATGAGACATCTCCACTCTAATAACTCTAATTTCTATTCCAAATAGCGTGGCTATGTCCAGCGTTTATCGTCTTGGCACAGAGATATAATTAATATGGATGAAGTAGTCTGTTCTTGGACATTATGGTATTCGCTATTCCACGGCTGCTATAAGTGCCCAATACGGCACTACATTTACTTGTCTTGATTCGTTCTTCATCGCACATCGCCCATATTTAGGACGCAGACCTGTTTCTCCTGCCTATCACTAACCTTTATATCCGAGTAATAGCCCACCCAGCTTCTTCAAGGAAAGAAACATGAAAGCCACGGCGGCTATCTTGATTGGGCTCGCTTGTATCCAGAGCGCAGCCCAGAGTTCCGGTGGCCCAGGGGAATGTCAGGTGAGTCCTATTGGGACAGGTTCGCAGTTGATTATAGCAGGAGCTGATCAGGTAAAGCAACGGTGTATCAACGATATGCTGGGAAAGGCGGAGGAACTGGGTTGTACCAGCGGTGATATAACTTGTCTCTGCAGAACAGCAAATTTTAAGTTTGGAATCCGCGACTGCACTATCGGTGCATGCAAGGAATCCTGGCAGTCAGCCGCGGGAATTGCCGATACATTCTGCAAAGAAGGTTAGTTGAACCGTATGCGAATATAGCCTACATGTGGAAACTTACTAGTTGGGCAGCTTCCCCCTCTACAAGTCCGGGAGTCTCAGCTGCTTCCTACTGGCTGGCCGACATAACACATCAAGGCGTTGCTGCATTCAACGCCAATCAGTCTGGCTACAAAGTGTTCCGTAATGTCCAGGACTACGGGGCTAAAGGTGTGTACGCTATCGTTCTTCCCGCTAGCTGAGACTATCAGCTGATAAACATTAACTAGGCGACGGAGTCACCGACGATACTGCCGCAATTAATCAAGCCATTAGCGACGGTGGCCGATTTGGCCCTGCCGGTCGTCGGACTTCAACGACGACTCCGGCGATTGTGTATTTCCCGGCTGGCACCTACGTTGTCTCGGCTCCGATCATCGACTTTTACTTCACTCAGCTGGTCGGCATCCCAATGCTCTTCCCACCATCAAGACCTCGGCGTCATTCACGGCCCCTTGGGTAATCGACGGGGATCAGTATCAGAGCGATGGCCAACAGGGTTGGATTTCCACGAATATATTTCTTCGGCAGATCCGAAACCTGGTGCTCGACTTGACAGCCATCCCCGCCAGCGTGGAAGCCCGCGGCATCTACTGGCCGACTGGACAGGCCACCAGCATCCAAAACGTGCGTATCCTGCTGAACTCGGATTCGGGAACGCAACATCAGGGTATCTTCATTGATAGCGGTAGGCGTGTTCTCGTGTCTTTTACAGTGCTATTCGGTCCTCTTACTAAAATTTACAGGCTCTGGTGGCTTCATCACCGACGTGACGATCATCGGTGGGAAATATGGCGCAAACCTAGGAAACCAGCAGTTTACCATTCGCAACCTTTCCATCTCCAACTCGCAGGTCGGTATCTGGCAGCAGTCGAACTGGGGATGGACCTACCAGGGAGTCAACATTGCCAACTGCACCACTGCCGTGGCTATGACCAATGAAGGCATGGATAATCAGCAGGTAGGGTCCATCATCATCTTTGACAGTACTATTCAAGACTGTTCGGTCTTCGTGGACACTGTCTGGAGAGAATCCACGTGGAGCAATGGAAGCTTAATCCTGGAGAATGTGAATCTCAATAATGTCCCTATTGCCGTTAATGGCTCCAGCGGTGCGGTCCTCGCCGGTTCTGCTAGCAACACTACCATTAAGGCATGGGGCCAGGGCCACCGCTACACGCCGTCCGGACCTACCAACTTTCAAGGGCCGCTAACACCGGCGACACGGCCCCCCTCCCTCCTGGTGCCTGGCTTATCTCGTTACTATACCAAATCAAAGCCCCAGTACGAGTCATACCCAGTTGCTTCGTTTGTGAGTATCCGAAGCACCGGCGCGAAAGGAGACGGGTCCACCGATGACACGGTTGCCATCCAAGCGGCGCTGCGGTCGGCAGCCTCGGCTAAGAAGATCCTCTTCTTTGACCAGGGCGTATACCGTGTCACCGGCACAGTCTATATTCCTCCAGGCTCCCGGATTGTCGGTGAGGCATTCCCGGTGATCATGAGCAGCGGCAGTAAGTTCTCGAACAAGGACCAGCCCGTTCCGGTCGTACAGGTCGGGCGAGCCGGGGAATCAGGATCTGTCGAGTGGTCCGACATGATTGTAAGCACGCGGGGCTCGACTCCCGGCGCTGTGCTTGTCGAATGGAACCTGGACTCAACTTTAGGCTCCGGTATGTGGGATGTCCATGCGCGCATTGGCGGCTTCGATGGCTCTGAGCTACAAGTAGCGCAATGCCCCATGTCCGCTGCCCCCTCCGCTCAGTGCGAAGCAGCCCACACCACTGTCCACGTCACGAGCAGTGCGGCGAACGTCTATCTAGAAAACGTGTGGATCTGGACAGCGGACCATGATCTGGATGATCCAACTGATACCCGCATCTCGATCTACACCGGTCGTGGACTGTTGGTTGAGGGTCGGAATATTTGGCTGTAAGTGCACTCCTCCTCAATAGGCCGCCGCTGACCATACTTTACTATAGCTACGGAACTTCCGTTGAACACCATTCACTATATCAATACCAATTCTCCGGCGCCCAGAACGTCGTGGCGGGATTCATCCAGACAGAGACCCCGTAAGCCATTCCTGTCCTGCAGATAAAGCCCTACATTAAGACATGCACACTGACAAACTTGTTGTTTTATGACAGATACTGGCAACCGAACCCAGACGCAGCGAGTGGCCCCTTCCCTTCAAATTCCACCCTGAATGACCCCGACTTCAACAACTGCCAAGCGGGGAGCTGTAATGCACTTGGTCTCCGCATCCGCGAGAGCCGGGACGTGGCCATCTACGGTGCGGGGCTCTACAGCTTCTTCAATAACTACTCGACAACCTGTTCAGAAGCTACCTCCTCGGAGAAGTGCCAGAGCGATATCTTCCGGGTCGATGGAAGTGTACCTGGCCTGGTGGTTTACGCACTGAACACGATCGGGACGACAAATATGGTTGTTCGGAATGGGGAAATACTGGCTCAGTATGGAGATAACAAGGCTTCTATTGAAAGTGTCATTGCATACTTCACCACAGGTACACAGTAGGCCTCCTGTGATTTGATCTGAGTCAATTATAATGGATATTCTTAAGAGAGGTTTAAGACGTTCCTCTGTTTCGTATGTGCAACGTGGAGATGGCTTCTCCACGTTGATTGATATTTGTTAGAACATCGGGTTATCCCTCTGCAGGAATGGGAATAGGGCGGGCATTTAGGGCCGCCCTGAACTGAACTGATTTGTATAATTCTTAGTGAAAAGTTTGAATAACGAATTTTCTACTACTTCTTATTTTTTTAAAATTAAAACTTAAAAACTATAAGTTTTTCTTTGTAGGACTGTTTGTTATATATTATATATCTAGTACCATAGTAACCTTTTTTTAAAAAAAAAACTATAATTATATAATTAATATGTCAAGGGCTAAACCTCTATAACCTAATAACTAGGGTGGATACAAAAGGAATCGTCGAAGAGGAAAGAGAAGAGGAAACAGCGATGAGACGATTGCGAAATAAGGGGGGGAGAAGTCACATGATAGAGTGTTACGGCGGACTGAATCGAGCATGTGGACAAAATTCGTAATTTTGTAAAATTTCATTGAGCAACGCGTAATTAAATTTATCCGTGCAATTTCTTACTTCATAAAATTATACATTTTAATAACTAGTATCAAGTGAGGAAAAAATATTACCAAATTATTATATTAAGTACAAAACTAGGTATGATTCCAGGCATCTTGCTCCCTTATAATCTCTCTTAAATTCTGTACCAAGTGCATATCCTTCTGCATAATAGTCACGCGCTTGGCATGAATCGCCGCCAAATTGGCCACTAGATGCTCGTAATTAGTATATTATTAGTATATTATAAAAGTATAATACTAGTAAATTAGTGGCAAGCATTGCCTCGGATGCTTCTTGAAGTGCCTCAATCGCTAATCGCTGCCATTGATATTCTCTACCTCCACTAGGACGGCCTGCGACTTCTTCACATATCTCTCGAACGAGTCTTGCAAAAGGTAGCTTTCGAATTAGCAGTTCATGGCCCTTTTGGTATTTCTTGATCTCCTGCAAAGCTTTTCCTTTAATATAGTTAATTTAGCTATTAGTAATATAGTAATTAGTGTAGTAATCTACTTACTTCCTTGCCTTCTTCTTACTGAACGAGCAGTCTTTATCTTGACCCGACGGCCTTGAAGATTTGGAAGGCGTTTACCGGCACCTTTTCGAGCTCTGCTTTCTAGATCCATCTTGGGTGCCTTGCCACCTGAAGCAGTACGAGCATTGACTTTGGTTCGAGCCATAATATGAAGTATGCACGGAAGGACAAGAAAATAGAAATAAAGGATGAGAGATAAGATAGTAAAACAGTGTAGTGATTACAACAATAATTAGTAGAAAAAAAAAAAGGGTCAGAAGGCCTGGAAGAAAAAAAAAAAGTGAAAAAAAAAAGACAAAGACTTTCCTAAAAGGGTAATATAAACAAAGTGAATGAAAAATATACAGCTAGTTATATATTCAAAATTTTTTTAATTTACCTTTTACTTTATCCCCTTTCTTTCTTTATTTCTTAATATTCAAGGATATCCATCCACATTATATCCCAGGCTCCAGTATCTAGCTTAAATTTATCAAGTCTATACTACGAGTTAGACATCCCACGGACACCACGCCGAACGGCGGCTCCCACCAGGATACTACAAGTTAAGTAAGATTTCTTGGTGACAATTTCTATATCTAGTGATATACTAATTATTATACTAATCATAAAATAGAATGCGCGGGATTCCAGGTCCTACACCTGGAGACCAAGCAGAAAAAAAAAAAGAAAAGCAGAAAATAATCTATCTGATAATCCTCACACTAAAAAGCACGGGCAAGAACAGCAGGGCTAAGTAATATTGACCGCCAAATTGAGCGGGCAAAGAATGCAGACCGGGCAGCAGTTAATCGACGTTTAAAGAAGATTAAGGAGTCTGACGAGTATAAAAATGCTGTACCAGAACGCCAGGAGGAGCTGCTTCGATATGGACGAGACAACGAAATGGCTGAAAGGTATTTGTATTTATACTAATATTGTATATTATGCTAATTATTATACTATAGAACTCAAAAAACCGATCAGCCGATGCAGTACGACAGCGTTTAGGTTATTCTGAGACTGCACTATCTACAATATTTGCAGACGATCACCCGGCCTGGGAGAATATCAATGAAACCGATATAATTCTTCATGAGCGGCAGGTACAGCAGGATGATATTGAAAATTATGGTAACGACAGTCTTCCAGATAAACAAACCCAGGAAAATGCGCAAAGATTATTAAAGGAGAAGATTACGCACGGCATTTTATCAACAGAAATGATTTGGTCTCATTGGTCTCGCTACTGGAAAGATACTATCCAGAAAGTTATTCAAAAGAGCAGACGGCTAAATAGAATTGATATTAACAATATTGATAGTTCACGCAATGAACTAATCAATGTAGCAGCCATATACCCTCCTGATATTTTTTTTACTTCGGAAGACTGGGCGTGCTTCAGAACTCTTCAATACACCAAACAATTTAATCCTACTGGTTGGATTACATTGCCTGGTCCGGACTTCTGGTGGGACAAATACATTTTGCTCAGCATAATAAAATGATAAAAAGGAGTGGATTCGGGGAAGACGCTTGCATTTAAAATGGTTTATGCAAAATGCATGCCTAGGGACTTTGATAAGGTTATCTTTCATCAGACTGAACTAGTTGTCTTTAAATAGTAGTATAGATTGATTACTACGTTGATTGCTACATTAACTTTATATTATTTATTGAATTAAAGTAAATGCGTTGCTATCTGCCATCTTATCCGGTCCCTCATTGTATATAAGCATATCCATATCCATCCCATCAGGATTTATTCAGTCTGTACTGAACCAGTCATTCCAGGCACCAGTGGTTTTTTTAATAACCTAACTTTGGTGTTTTTTGTGACAGTATATACTGTGAAGTTATGCCGGAGTTGTTTATATGCCTAACATGAATTCGTGTACGTTATTTAGCTATCCTGAGCATTAATTCTGCAAATCCTAGCTCGTCAAGTTTATTTTACACCAGGTTAGTGTTTCAAAAGGTAAATACTCATCAACATCTATATTTTTTACATATATTAGCAATCGTGTCTTTATATATTTAAATTTTGTACTTACTATAATCTGCAGTACACTCTTTAATCTCTTCTAGTAGATCAGGATTAGGAGATAAACCATATCTTTAATTTCTTATCTGGCCAGTGATAAAGCTTAACTGGTGACCAGATACAGAATTTGGGCGTTTGGTTGGCGGCGAATAGAATGTACATTCCACATACGTACAAACGCATGCACTTGTTTTCGAATAATTGGCATATAAATTGCTATAATAGCAATCCGATCAGAAAGAGACGTAGAGTCATAAAGACCATTATTGGATAAATCCAGAAAATAATCCTATTTATATTAGTTAATTATTAGTATAATAGCTATTATATACTTACCCGCCATCGAAAAGTTCACTTTTGGAAAGCTGGCCCCACCAAGATTCAATCCGTACATTTGCAGTACTAGTTCCATAGCGAAAGCAGCCATTAAAGAGGCGTCGGGTCGATTTTTTGAATAAACTGATGATGAGCTGATGCCACTAATGGTGTCTCAACTCCCCGATCTGCTCGTATAATCTGAGGTAAAACTTTCTGCGTGTTAAGAGTATAAATATACTGCTGAAGAACACTAATAGCAGTACGATTTGATACTCCAACATAGATCCAGTAATATACGAGAATATGCATCAATGCTGCTAAATCTCAATTCCCCAATGTTGTAGTTTGCAGTATCCATCTATAGACCAAATATATTAGGCCAGGCACTATATATTCTCCACGGTGCCGTTGAAGATCATTTAAACGGCGTGTAACCCCTGCTGGATCAAGCCGTCGTATAGAAGCAAAAAGACGGTCTCTAATAAAAGTAAGTATAATATAATAATTAATGTAGTAATCAGTTTAACATACCTGGAAACAAGATGCATTTGTGTACGGAAGTATGTATAAAGGTGACCACGGCCATATCCCTCAATTGTACCTTTATCCAATTCCTCTTGGACTATTTTATCAAGTATTTGATCAGCCTCTTGTTGATTTCGATAATCCACCTTTCTATAAATGCCCATTTTTCGACGAATTCGAACAAGCTGCCATGATGTAATTTGATAGCCTTCCTTTTGAAGAACCTCCAATATATTTTTATCTGACAAGCAACAGTTATAAAATAATATTGCAATTCGAGCCCGAAGATGTGCTATATCAGCCTCTGGTATTCTAGAACGGATTGTGATTTCCCAGTCTAACAAACGCCGGCGGATTGTCTTTGTTTCAACTGAGATATTATATGTATTTAAAAGATAATCAGAAATCTTTGCTACTGAAACTCCGTCTTTAACCTTTCCAATAATAATATCCTTGTAAGGATCAAGATTAATTGAGGGACGTCCAGCCATATGTAAAGCAGGCACTTAAAACTAATAATTTTTAATATACTATTCTTTTAAGTATATAATATATCTTAGTTTTGTGTGCAAGACTAAACCTAATTAAGAGTATATTACCGAATCCTAATAATGCTTAGTCATTATCAAACTAGTCCAAGTTGTTAGAGCTTATAGAGATAATCGATTCTTGGATAATTTATGGATGCTTAATTTCTTGATTAATTGATTTTTTTTTTTTTGAACTACTTACATGGAGATGTTGTGGGAGCTCGCTTCTTAAGACAGCTAGGCCTAATCGGGAAGCAGTGCTTCGGTATAAGTTAATATAGTAATTAATGTACTAATCAATAAAATAGGGCTATAGTCATTAAAATAGACTAGTGGACAAAATCATATTTCGCGTATTTTCCCACATATATAAATAGATATATCACATTTAACTAATATTTTGCGTTTTGTTATTTACCTACTCTTTTAATCAAGAACTTTTTAATATGTCTTGGACACGATATTATACCGAGTATGCAAATTATCAGCAT